CCATTGGGGTTAATATAACATCCTTAATAATTTAGGTAACCATTGGATTCACCCACTTTACTCCCTATCTTTGAAGTAGGATTCAGCTTGACAGGAATGATCTTTACTCCGTATTCTGAACATTACATTTTCCCAATATCTTCCCCCAAGCTCTTTTCTTGATAGCTCATCATCAATGCAGAGGATAACTGTCAGTAAGCTTTTAGATGACTGTATAAGTTCAAGTAGGGTGCTTTGATTACTAACTTTTGCACACAATCAGACTACGCAATTCCTCCTAATAAAGAGAACCTTCCTGTTTAATTTTATTATAAATATATTAATGGAGATCATCCAGACAGACTTCGACATGTCACCACAGAAAAGCTGCATTAATCTATAATAAGCAGGTAACAAAATCTCAACTCGGATAGAAAATACACCTGAGACTTTGTTAGTTTACACCGGCATAGACGTAACATTATCCTATCGAACAAAGAACGTGTGTATTGCGCAACAGTTTGCATTGTCTTCCTTTATAGCTGAGACATGGCAATTAAAAGTGGATGGAAAAACTAGTTGTCTTCGACCACAGATGTTTGCGTTCTACCTACCATTTTATATGGCCCAACATGATAAGTAATACTGAGGTTAGAAGTAAAACACGTCAGCCGGTGAGGTGGTCAGGTTAAAGAATTACGATCCAGGAGTACAAACGCACCGATGACCATGATCACATTCTGTTAGTTGGATAACGGGACCTACTATTGCTATAGAGCCACTATGCACTAACTGATGTGCGAATTTCATCCCGATCTCGTTCTTAAGTACTGTTTAGATAGTGGGTTGACAGCTCGTTACGGCTAGCGTTGGGGTATTTTATTTTTACTACGGATTTTCCTACTAAATACATTGCATTTTCATTTGAAAAAACACCAATCTGATTGGCCGCCTCAAGGTAAGTCGTGCGTTCACATCCCTTGGACTGCCATTCTTTAACTTTGCCGATCAGGTTGTACAGATACATCGATTGAGATGGCCAGGATACGTGTTACGTATGCACAACCACCGCCTTCCTCGGCGGGCAATGTTAGCTAATATGAGATTGGGCTGGGAAGGAATTAGGGATGATGAAACCAAAATCCCACATCACAGCATGAAAATTTTGAGGCATATAGGGAGGTGTAAATCGTCTAGTTGGGGTCCTCAGAATGCTAAGAACCAATGGCTTGAAACTACTGGTGATATACCTCAAAACAGTTCTTAGTATCGCAGATTCATTCACCCCCCTTAGACTTTCGAGATTAATTAGACGTTCATGTTTTTCCATGCTACTATTTTTTCTCCTCTAAATTTTAGGTATTATAGTTCCTTTGACTCGGTTCTGTCTACCTTTGTGTGCTACAAGGAATGTGGCAACTTAAGCTAGTGCACTCCCCTGCGGAGTTCTATGTTGAAACCCAGTCAGTCAGTGGGTTGAATTACGCTGGAAAAGACAGCTTTCGCAAATATGGTTTAGGGTACAAGGACGGTGTCCACTTCCTATTTAAACTGAGACTGCATGATGGGTAAATACAGAACAGTTAAAACATCTATAAATACATGGTTTATAAACTACACTGAGTTATATCAAGTGGGTAATGCTATCCACTAAGAGGAAATCCGTCGACTACTACTTCGAATATGGTTTAGCAAAAATAGATAATACGACATTTAAACCCGCAAAATAGTGATCACTACAATGTTACTGTCTTAACTCTTAACTTTTACTCTTTAAAATCTATTGTCCGAACTAATTAAAAACATCTAATGTACTACTAAAAAGTCAGACAACTCACCACAACTCCACAAACTGCCGGAACGCTTGTGTGAAGGGAATATGATGCGGCAACGACGGTGGTGGATCAGAGATGATTTTCGTCATAATAGCAAACTCAATCTGAGTTCCAGTATACGGGAAAGATCCAGTAGCCAGCTCTAACAGCGATATGCCAAGTGACCATATGTCCGCACGAACATCATACGTTGCATTGTTCAGACGCTCCGGGGCCATGTATCCAGTGCACCCTGGTTGTCTTGAACGAGCGATTGAATCTTTGAGTATTCCACTTATTCCAAAATCACATAGTTTGATCACACCTTGATAACTCAAAAGCATATTAGATGGCTTAACGTCTAAAACTTAGTGGAAATTTAGTATTACCTCTGTGCATTACATTGTGCTTCCTCTTCAAATAGTCTAGAGCAGTAGTGATCTTTATAAAGGATTAAAGGATAGTCAACCAAACTTACAGCTACAGTCACTTTTCCCAATACTTTCTCAGGAAATGGACGATGCAAATCGTGGTACAGCTTGTCCAAGCAAGTTGACATGACCTCCATACATATCCAAACATCACCCTAGGGCATGACAAAAGAAAAAATCAACTTACTCCTGAAAAAAATATCCCAAAGCATTCGACAATGTGAGCACAATCAAAACTTTTGGTAACAATGTTTAGGTCCATCATAATGCGTTTGTTTTCCTCTTCATACGTAGATGACACACGCATCTGCTTAACAGCCATAACAATATCATGTTTTGAACGGTGCCGCATTTTATATACAGAACTACAGGTCCCAGAACCCAAGCACCCTTCATTGATGAAGTCGTCTGTTTTTGCATGCAAAACCTATGAAATGAGTATGAAAAAAGCTTAGTACTTTGTTTCCAAAAACGAGGACTCCACTTCTTTTGGTAATTTCTCTCTGCAAGGACTCAAAGTCATACCTATCTTAATTAAAGAACAAATAAAGGCACATACTTGTCATGCTGTCGGTCGAGGGTGGCAGCCAACTCATTCTGTCTGCTTTTCGAACGAGTTGCAGGAGACTCAGACCTATGTCTTTCACTCAGCACTAAACGAAAAATCATCAAATACAACTATGAGACATTACATGCTGTAGGGCGTTGAAAGCGTGCAACATTTCTCCTTGGTGAGCCAGCATCTTTTGTGCTGCAAATATGAAAACCCGAATTATTCTCTGTGGGCACATAAAATTGCGATGCTGAACAATTGACCGAAGAGAGTTCATTTGACATAGGTAGACTACTGCGCCATAAAATTTACACCTCTTGGTAAGTTTAAACAACGACAGTAACAGGACAGTATTTTGAACTTTATCCGATATCCGATATCGTTTTGACAGGCTAGTATAAACCAGTTTGATTTCTTTGTGCTCACTTCTTGATTGTGAGGTAAAGGTTCCTGGTCTTCGTCTTCTACGTAGTTCTCCCCGCCACTCGACTATCGTAGCTTTGGTTGACTCTAAAAGGAGTACTGCTAGGAGTAATTATATACTGTTCGTAGTATACTGTGTGTTAAAAGTTTGGTACTACTGCGGATAGAGTTGATCCTTTCGCCAGTTATTCCTCCGATATCGTCGTCAAAAGAAAAGAGATAATAATAATAACAGATGTAATTAGGGTAGGTTATTCAGACTGAAAGACAAAAACGCAATAAAGAAAACGTAAAAACAGAGAGCCAATTAAATTTGAAGTTGATATATATACATATATCTGAATAAGTGTAAGTGTAGTCGGAGTAGTCAGGGGAGAACGTAAACAAGTAAAACGACGAATTTAGTTGAATGGTTTATGGGATTTTAGGGAGATAGGCCACTTTTAGGAACATTGTTGCTGGTCAAGAATGGATTTTTAGCCATTTTCAGTAAATATATATCAAAAAATATGAGACAACTGTGTTAAATACTGGAACCTACTTATCATGTAGTTGGGGCCAAGAAGCTGCACACTGTCTCAAGAAATGAAACCAGTATCACCCGCACCTCAGCTAAGATGCTGCAAATAGTTGTCAAGAAGGCTATCATGGCATATCTGGAAGGCGAACACCCATTGTTCAGAGTACGGTATATTTTCAGGAGAAACTTCTTATGCTTGACAAATTTTGAGGCAAGAGAAGGCTTAATCAAGTAAAGAGACAATAGATGACCCTCTGATGTCGTTTTCAAAGACTTTAGCAAAGCCTTCGACAAACTGCCTCACTCAAGATTGCTCACGAAATCGGAAAGCCTTGGAATCAAAGACGGCTAGCTGAACTGGATTAGGGAATTCCTTATTGAAAGGAGGCAGAGTCAGGATCAACTGCAATCTCTCCCGCTGGACAGCAGTACTTGGTGGGGCACCACAAGCCAACGTAGGCCTCTTCTCTTATTTGTTTCGTATACCAACAAACTGATTGGGCTCACCAAATCTCCCATTCTTCTCTACGTGGATAACCTAAAAATTGGGAGGGAGTTAAGGCGTGATAGGGACGTGCTTATTTCGCAGGGAGATCTCAGTAAACTATTGGATTGGACTAAAGAATTGGCACTCTCATTGAACATGCCGACGTGAGCAGACATGCATATAGAACATACGAGCGTCAGCTCACACGGACTATGCAGAATAAAACTCCTATTACCCTGAACTTATATGAATCTAGGTGTCTTAAAAAGTCATAACCTACAAATTCTAGCAAACTGTCGCTTGAAGGCAGCTCGAAGTTTCAGATCCTAATGGGCAGTACGTAGAGCATTTGCCAAAGTCACCAGCGATGTGATCACTACCTTATGCATATCTCTAGTGGGGTCAGACTGGAACACTGCATCCAGACAGTTAACCCTTGTCTGAAGATTGAATCATTCATATTCCATAAAGAGTTCACATGAAGGCAACTCGTATGATTCTTGGAATGTCCAATTTATCATGCAAAGAACGACCCAGCGGTTTGAGTCTCTCCACTGTGTCAAATTGCAGGTAGACAGCAGATCTCATCACAATGTTTAAAATTTTACATAATCCGTACATACCTGTTCTGTATTCTCTTTTCTCCCCCACCAGGTTGTAACACCGCAGGAGTTGAGAGGGCAAGGAGGAACTATATTGCTGTGGAGTACTGGCTGTCCCACAGTCATTAATTCCTGGGACAGACACCCAGAAAAGGTGATGTCAGTGCTCTCAACTGACTCGTTCAGGGAAGGTTTGAATTGTCACAGAGACTTATTAGAAAGGGATTTACATAGGCTTCAGACCTTCTATCCTCAACCAGTGTATCCGGAGTCTGAATCTGGTATCCAATATCTTTCCCACAAGCATGAGTAAACAGTATGATTTGTTGGTGCTCACTTTTGTTGTTTTGGAATGACCACGGATCTTTGGTAGATTCCGGGACAAAGAATCTTCCTCTCTTCACTGACTTCCTCAGTTCTGTTTGATGCACTTATAGGAAGTATGCTATTTCGTCTCGAAGAGAATGTGTAACACGTACCATATCAGTGTCGCTTACAGTACTTGCAAATTACGTTTCCCCGGGAAATCCTCCAGTTTGATTCACAAACAATCTGAAGGAAAAATACCAAGAGAGTGGATAGGGAGTCGAAATAATTACTAAACAAGACAAATGGGAGTTCAAGCAAGCTATTTGGGTGGAAGAAAGGTAAGACAGTACAGCATACGTACATAACGAAAAAAATAAAATGACAGGGCTGATGTGATAAGCAATAAAAATAGGACATTATGACGAAATACATAAGAATTCGAAGTGTTAGCAGTAGCAGAACAGCTCCTAATGATCAATTAGACTCCCTCCTCTGTTGCTGCCACCCAATGAACACTTGACTCAGGTTTGGTTTTGGGAATACCATAGTGACCCTCCTGCATTATATCTCCATTTGGATGATTTTAGTTGTGCAATATTGCTCCGAGTCCTGTGTCATATGAGACTATAGCGATACGGCCTTTGGAGCTGGCCATCGTGTAGTCGGCATTTCGGCCTAATTTAATAATAATAATATTCCACAACAATAACAATTTACAGCATGGAATTTTCAGCGTTTCATTTTACATATTGCATTGGTTTAGCTCTTTTTATAATTATATAAATGTATGAAATGCTAAAAATATTGATAATTAATAGGAAAAAATAAAAACCCCAACAAAATCACACCATTTCTAGGTGATAGTGAATAATAAATAATATAACAAATCACACATGCAATAATATGCATCATTACATTTTATAGTTTAGCCAATGATTTAATAGCTGTAATTGCGGCTTTAGTCGCATCCTCTATGCGTTTCCAAAGAGCCTCATGTTTCCCTTTAGGACTAAGGGTACAATGACGTTACATTATTCAAAGTGCGGCCTTACATACGCATTGCACGACTCCATGAAACGTCCAGTTACAGAGCATACAGACGTTTGTGATAGGAGCAGATGGGTCGCATAATCACTTGGAGGTAACTTAGTCTGCTACCGGATGAACGTTGCCCAAAGGTTTCACTGATGAAACTGAGCACATTTAAACTACCAAGATAAGCAAGATTATTCTGGTATCACTGAAAATAGATCGAATCTCTTCCCGCCAAAAACCTTTACCGACCCAACATCAACTGCCTGGAGAGGTACTGCAGAGCGCCAAATGGTCAGAAGATCTGAGAGAATCGTACTGATGCTATTTACCGCAAAAAAGGTAGATTTAAGTGTAAGGTGTCTACATTTTCCAAATAGAAGTCGATATCAAACCCTCTGAACAACATCTGCCACTCTCTCCCATTTACCGATGTTTGGCTTTGATATATTTGTGGTGACAGCTGCGTTGTCACAATGCATCTTGGCGCCTACCTGAGCGATCCAGCACACAATATTTCTGGACGTACTGGACGTCATGAAAAATGACTACCAATAGACCATTTTTATGTCGAATTATACTTCTTGTTAAGCCCAATATTGCACCTTTGAAAGATAAAGTTGTATTTTATAAATCGCTTTACAATTCGTGTTAATTAGACTGTTTGTGGCTCACTGGATTAGTGTGCATCTTTTATTTGAACGCACAATTTGTTAACTACCAGCCGCTTTGTGTTCAGCCAATGTGCTCTTGGTATTTGGATACCTGTTAACCTCATAACTGAAGAACAATAAATCTTACACTTTCTCCAGCAGTTTGGCTTTAGTATAAATCCATTTGGAGCAGTTTGGCATATTTTAGATTCTGATCGAAGATTGCGAGTCCGTATACTGAGGGTGCTGTTCTTACCATGGTTATAACATTTATGTTTGCGTTTTAGCGGAGTGTTAATGTCGTGTAACTTGACTACAGTGCACCTCCAGGTAGGAATATGCAGCCAACCGATCACTTCAGGGTACTCCAAACAGCGAGATAGACACAGAAATCAGATTTAACCGCCACAACCATCCAACCAACCTCTTTATCAGAATAGAGGGTATATGTATCCTGTGTACAACCACGAACATTTAAGCCAAAGATGAATAATTTGTGATTGATTACATGAGTTCAACGATCATCCAAAATAAATGAATCAAAAATTGCTTAATCGGGTTATCATGTCAGTGCATTCATCAATCACAACCTCACCGTTTACAGAGACAGTTAATCCGTCCTCACGGTTTGATTTAGGTGGCTAACACTTGCTAAACACTTCAGCAAAACTCCTGAGGATTTCCCCGGTCTTATTCTTCTCTTCTGGCAGATTCTGCAGCTAAAACAGTAATACTTTCTTTAAAATTTTTGTTAGTAGAACAAAGTATTTGAACCAACACAAAAACACTTCATCCAAACCCTTCTTCGTACATCCGATAAAGATCATAATGACCTAGGCCATGAAATATGTTCATTAATTCAGAAGTGCTGCCAAGTGAAAGTAATTATGAATTCGTCAGGCTTTGCAAAAGCAGGATCCATGGCTGCAGTCAAGGCTTTTGAACTTTTCAGTCTTTATGTTTCCTTTTAACCCCAGTAATTCCACACCACTGGTTGTTTTAAACATGCCGCTGGAAGCCTCCGTTAGGATTCTCGCCACTCTGGCTTCCGAAGACAAACTCTCTGGCTTTTACTACTCCTGTGGGCCAGTACAAATTCTCGGGACTTGATTGAGGCTTTGTGGTCGGGCTCGCTTGTCTTCACTGACAGTGGCAAAGCACCAATTTTCTAGAGCTGGGTATGTGGTATATTTTGATTCATTCGCTGAGAATCGCCATGCTATGCCCTTTTTATGTTCTTGACGGGACATTTTGTGCGCTTACTCAGAAAAAGTCTTGCTTTT